CTGTTGCATGGTCTGATATATATACTGTAAAGGAACAGTCCACTTTTTAAACAATGCAAGAACGTGTCCAATAAAATAAACTTGATCTGTAAATTTCGCAACCACATAGGCACTCAGTATGTACCTGCTCGTTAAATAAAAGACAAAACATGAACTGTCAATATTGTCAGAAATTAGGTCATGAAGTAGACCAATGTTCTTACATTATCGAATACGAAACATGCTGGAAATGTACAGAAATGGATCTTAATCCTAATATATGCAGAATTAAAACTATTATTAGGTTAGATAAATCCGAATACTGTTACGAAATTGGTCACACTATATAAGACTGTCCAGATATCATCTGTAAATGTGCATTAAAAAGGGACTCAACTAACAACATCAAATCCGAACAACTGCAATAGCAGTGTTAATATATAAGATTGTGTGTTTTGCATCAATATGGGACATCTAGTAAACCACTGCAGGAAATTACAAGCTGTGAAAAAAAATTATGACACTGATAGTAAGAAATTTACTTGCGAATTTTGTGATATTATAGGACATAATATCAATAGCTGCAGCAAACTCAAAGCACGTTAAAATATGATAGAATCATTTTATCCAACTTGTAAGAACCTGAGATATACAGAAGAGCGATGTTTTATAATCAAAAGTAGTGCGGGAAATTTCGAAGCATTTTAAAAGAGAACGTCTAGGAAAATTCTAGGAAATCTAGAAAATCTAGGAAAATAAATGTAGCGTTCTCATCGCAAATGAATAAAGAATCACAAAATTATAGAAAATACACTTAAAATAAATCAGACAACTTAATGGAAACAAAAGATGTAACGCAGTATATGGATAACGTAATCGAAACTTATGTAGTAAAACTTAAAAGACTTCGTCAGTATATAAAAACAAATGACCCATATTCCAACAAGAAACTACGACTACTGGTAGCCAGTGGAGCATAATTAAATATTATATGGAACTAGAGTCTTACTTTGAAATACATAAATAATAGAAATCAAACATCCATTTCAGGATTCACAGAAAATGCTATAGAAACTTTAAGATTGATAAAGATGAATATTTCCATTGTCATGTAGCACCAGAAAGCTTTTCTATTCCTTACGATGTAATATCAGGCATAAAAGTTCTGATGAAATAAAAACTAAAATCAAATAAGGGATATTTACCAATTAATGGCAAGAGATTTCAATTGAAAGCAGCTACTAACAGATATCGAATAAATACAACCATGGAACCCATCAAAAATTGAAGTAATTCAAAAAATTGATTACAAAAAAATTGCTGAGATCTATGACTAGCGCATTTAATATACCGGCACGGATCGTACCAAAAAAATTACTGTCCAAAGAGAGAAAAAGAAAAAAAATCAATGATAAATAATCGCAAAATAAATGTTAATACAATTCCATATCCTTACTTATTACCGAATATAGATGAAATCTTTGAGTCTATTGGAAAAAATAGGTTTTTTTACAACTATTAATATGGTTTCAGGCTTTCATCAAATAAAAATGAAACAGTCGGGTATATACTAGACGGCATTCAGTATACCTGGTTTGGGACATTTTGAATTCAAGGAATTACCATTTAGATTAATTAATTCTCCAAGACTGTTCCGAAGCGAACTAACAAAAATACTCGAAGACTTGCTAGAAAGAGTTACGAGGGTGGTCCGATAAGTACTTAGCCTACAAATGAAAAACAAAAATTTTGGAAAAGTGGCGTTTTATTTTTCAACATAGTCTCCTTTTAGTTCGATACACTTGGCCCAGCGATGCTCCAACTTCTTTAACCCGTCTGAAAAATACGTTTCCTCGAGGTCTGAAAAGTAAGCTTCCGTGGCAGCGATTACCTCCTCATTCGACTCAAATTTCTGCCCGGCAAGTGACTTTTTCAAGTTTGGAAACAAAAAGAAGTCGCACGGGGCTAAATCTGGAGAATACGGTGAATGGGGCAGCAGTTGGTAGCCTAATTCGACCAATTTGGCCATGGCGATGGCGGAGGTGTGAGCCGATGCGTTGTCATGGTGGAAGAGCACTTTTTTCTTCGCCAAATGGGGCCATTTTTTTTGCAATTCGACGTCGAATCGGCCTAATAATTCGGCATAGTACAGCCCTGTGACCGTTTTGCCCCTCTCCAGGTAGTCGATGTAGATCACACCTTGTGAATCCCAGAAAACGGTGGCCATCACCTTTCCGGCCGATGGGGCAGTCTTCGCCTTCTTCGCAGCACTTTCGCCGGGTAAAGTCCACTGTTTCGACTGTTCCTTGGTCTCTGGTGTATACCAGTGGATCCATGTTTCGTCGACTGTCACGAAACGACGCAGAAACTCCTTCGGATTGCGCTTAAACAGCGTTAGACATTGCTCTGAAGTTATCTCACGGTTGCGCTTGTTGTCCGGCGTGAGCAAACGCGGCACCCATCGCACCGACAGCTTTCTCATGCCCAAAATTTCATGCAGGACATGATCCACGCAGTCTTTTGAGATGCCCACGATCTTAGCTATCTCGCGCACCTTCAATCGTCGATCTGCCAATACGAGATCGTGAATTTTTGTCACGTTATCCTCCGTGGTAGCCGTTTTCGGAGCACCTGGACGTGGCTCTTCAAAAATCGACGTTCGACCACGTTGAAACTCGTTAAACCAATTTTTGACGGTTGCCATCGAATGAGAAGAGTCACCGTACACAGCATCCAAGCGCTTTTTGATTTCGCTGCGCGATTTCCCTTCCAAAAACAAGAATCGAATCACCGACCGATACTGCTCTTTTTCCATTTTTCAAAAATCAACGGATACACTTGCTTTCACACGCTCTCAAAGATCCGGCTGAAATCTTAACAGTAACCATCGAGAAGGTTGTACTACGTGATAGAATATTTCTTTTGCGAGAGTGGCGCCATCGGGCGGTGAGGCTAAGTACTTATCGGACCACCCTCGTATACTACCTGTATATAGACGATATAATTTTAGTATAAAATCCAATTAAAGAACATAATGAAAGATTTTAACTAGTAGCACAAAAGCTTAGAGACGCACGATTAAAGCTAGAAACAAGCTAGTCACGATTACCGTCAAGAATAGAATGCAGAAGTAACAGTAGAGACCGGCAAGAAAATCGACACAACTGGCGTGAACCAGGGAAATAACTATTTGACTCATAACATTCGGATGAATACTCTCGTAGAAAGGTAACGACTTAAAACGATTTACACAGATACCGATTAATAGAATCCAATTATAACATAGTCTGCCGAGATTTACATAACATTAAATTGCTAGAAAGTTGGAAAATACGATTTAATAGCTCTGATGGAACAGAAGAATTCATTAACCAGAGTGAAGAACAAAAAAGATGAGTAAGGATATAAAGTTTTGACCTACTGCAAGCAACAACGAATTTTTTTTCGAAAGAAGTCAACTAATGGTACCAAGGAATTCCGAAAGAAATCTATAAGTGGAAGAACCTCAAGTGATAATTACATGACCGTTATGATAGACGGGTGACCTATGATGACAATGAAGAGAAATTACAGCAAAGAACGCAAAATGGAGCATGAACGCAAAATATATTACTCAGTTAGTTCCATTCCAGTCAGTTCAATATTTAGATAACAACAGAAAACCATTGAACAAATTAATACGGAGAACAGATTATCATACAGATGTTGCCAAAGCGACCATATTTACCGACAATATCCATAGAATCTTTGTTTCTTCTGCTACAAATCAGATCATTTCGCTGGCAATTTTCCGAAGAAAAACATGTTATTTTCTCATGATTAATCTAGAAAACAAAGACTGACATATAGTTAAATCCGCAAATATATAGGAGACTCTTTCAACGTCTGCAAAATTTACAAACTCATTCGCTCAAAGCTTTTGGGACGCGATTACGGTGGAAAACAAAGAAGACCACTACTTCCCTCAAATCGCAATAACAGGCTAATATCATAGAGACTGAAAGCTCATAGTTAAAATAATATCGGAAATAAAAATTGTCAACGTCAAAGAAGACCATGACCGTCTAATACGGGAAGTTTTGTCGGATGACGAAATAAATCAAGACGTCTCGAAGTCATATAAAGAGAATTTCCTAATCTGACTGACTCGAAACTATCTTGGATAAATGATGAACCGTTAAGTAAACTTTTGAAACAGCTGGAAAACCGCGAGACAATACACTTCGACATTAATGACGAGTTACAGAAAAATGATAAATTGGTTGAGAATCAATAATTTCTATCGATAGAAACCATGAAACTGATGGATAATGGCGTTGAACTTTAAAAACCCAACCTATGCATGCTTAAATACCTAAGGAGTTAGAGGCAACTAAAGCAGAAACGACAAAAAGTACTAGTCAAAATTCAACTGAAGCAAGCCCAAGTACGCTACTGATAAAGATGCTAGGAACAAGTGACCTCAATACAACAAATAAACCAGAAATCAATAACGTGATCCGAATCACTGACTTTGATATCAGTAGGGTAAAGTTCTGGCACTGTTCGCTCTCGCTTCTTCACTCGCTCGCTTTCCTCGCTCTCCTTCTAGTAATTATTGGTAAGTCTCATTAGTTGCTCCTCCAAAATTTTCGCTTCTATGCTCTTGTACTTTAGAAATATAAAAGCACTAATTAACTAATACGCTCGTTACACTGTATATAATAATCATTACTTTGCGATTACTAAAAAGATGACATAATAGCATAAGCGCACATATAGTACTGATATTGTTCAAAATACAAAGGTAAACTCGATCATTGGTAATATACATAGCCTATGGCATAAGAAAAAAGTATAATCTCAATAACCAAATATTTACAGGACGAAAATATAACGATACCTTTTGTGTTATATTGCGTTATATTTGCGAAATATAACAATATGTGATAAATTTACTGGAATTCATATAAAAAAATAAACAATTATTTCGTTTTTTAATTAGAATGGAGTCGGATTAACATTATTTGAAAGTTACTTACCGCATGCCCTCGAAGAGATTCGACGTTAAAATTATTTGTTTTAGCAGGAAATATTAAAAAAGCTACCACTGTAATATCAAGCTTGGAGACTTTTATATAATGGTTAAGCCTGGCTAATGATTCAATGAAAATATCAGCTCCTTTATTTCCAAATTCATACCTTCCAGCAATGAAAAAATATAATGTCTTTTCTAGGTCGAAGTCAAAATGCCTGAAAAATCAAAACGTTATAGCCTAAGTAACTTATATTGATATTAAAAATATTTTACCTCAGCTTTTTAATTTCAAATCTTATTCAATATATCTATGATTGTAAGTTATTCTATGAAGTATGTAATCTATGAATTAGAGATATGAGCGATTTATAAATATTAAAACGAATAAAAATGAAGCCATTATATATGTATTTAGGTTTTTCAGGATGTGTTCGACGCAGTTTCAATACCGTTTATTTTAGCGTTAGTAGTTACTATAAAAAGCCCGAAAACTGTCTCTTCTCTACTCATGTATAATAACTAATACGTTTTTCGATTTATTGAGGACATGAATTTGAATCACTTTAATTCCTAATTATAAAATTAATTTCACTATTTTATCCAGGTTACTGCAAAATTAAAGGATGACAACTTATTAATAAATACATAACGCGTGGAATTAACAATACCTACTTATCTGACAAATTTTATCTTTGTCAAAAGTTATGTTTATGTAATAAGTCACATAATACGTTATCTATATATTAATTAAGAGTTTTAATATTCTTTCATCATAACTTTCACATATGAAAAAATTCTGATACATACTTTTACGTATTAATAGACACATTTCATAGTGTAGGAATTATAATGTGTATGATTGGGAAACGAGCAAAGATTTCAGTCGGAATTAATCTGATGGAACACTTTTAATAAGTACAGACGGATACAGATCGGCACTCTTCCTCGTTGAGCGTCCTCGCGCTACTCTCCCATCTCCCCGTCCCCGCTTCCACCTATAAGGCCTATCAAAAATCTCCTCCCCCCTCGTCACCGTGGCTCTACAATCGCTCAGACTCCCGCGTTCCTACACTTGGTCTTTCTGCTCAGGCGCGTTCGGCCTCGAATGTGCATCATCCTCGTCGTCGGTATCCGAGTACCTCGACCAAGGTTTGAGGCAGTCGACTGCAGTCGACGTTTGCCGCGGTCCCTTATGGTCACCTATCTTCTGCATGATGTATCGGTCGTTGCGCAAAACTTTCGTTATCTCATACGGACCACGATACCTCGCTGCAAATTTTAACCCTGGGCCTTGTTGCGTTCTCTTTATCGCGACGTGTACAAAAAATTATAGCAATACATTAAAATGTACTGTTACAATACATAAACAATTTATTATATATTAAATATATATCAAATACTAGAATCTATATTACAAATAAAAATAGATTAGTCTATAGATTACTATGGTAAAGAATTTATATATTTGTAAACCGTTGAAAATCAGATTTAAATATAATATGAATTTATGAAATGTGTCTATTAATACGTAAAAGTATGTATCGAAATTTTTTCATATCTGAAAGTTATGATGAAAGTCGCATGACCAGAGAACCCCAATCTATCTATTACAGAGTAAAGCCAGCATTCGACATTTCTATTGTAATCAGTTCACTGTCTGGCTCACTTTCTCTCTCTCTCTCTCCCGATTTTTGATTTTTGTACATGCTCTGTCCGTCACATGCAGCATAACAATTGCGCTCTTCATTATTTGATTCATTTTACCTTGCCTTGTCCTAGCTATCCGACATCGCGTTATCTCTTTTTGAGCTATCGCATACCCGTGAGTTATTATTGTCATTCGCTGCAGCTCACGCCACTAAGGCGTACATGCTTGCATCGCATCCGCCATACATAATACGAGGGTGGTCCGATAAGTACTTAGCCTACAAAAGAAAAACGTAAATTTTGGAAAAGTGGCGTTTTATTTTTCAACATAGCCTCTTTTTAGTTCGATACACTTGACCCAGCGATGCTCCAACTTCTTTATCCCGTCTGAAAAATACGTTTCCTCGAGATCTGAAAAGTAGGCTTCCGTGGCAGCGATTACCTCCTCATTCGACTCAAATTTCTGCCCGACGAGTAACTTTTTCAAGTTTTGAAACAAAAAGAAGTCGCACGGGGCTAAATCTGGAGAATACGGTGGATGGGGCAGCAGTTCGTAGCCTAATTCGACCAATTTGGCCATGACGACGGCGGAGGTGTGAGCCGGAGCTTTGACATGGTGGTAGAACACTTTTTTCTTCGCCAAATAGGGCGTAAATAGATATAATATAATATTCGTGTGATAGAGAGAAGCAACAACAAGCTAATGGAGAGAGAAAGAGAGAGAGAGAGAGAGAGAGAGAGAGAGAGAGTAATATCGATACTTACTAATATGTCGATGGCTCCTTTCGATTTGTTTAAGCGCTGTTTGGATCGTCGCCGAAAACGGCGTCAAAGGTAAAATGAACATTGGTGCATTGGTACATGAAGCCACCTAACCGATCGCAAACAACCAATCCGCATGAACAAATCTAGCACGAAAGATAACACATAAAATAATAATCAAAACAGTCTTCCACATGCACAATGAATTCGCTAGAATAGTAATAACAAAGATGATGCTTGCAGAATGCCGACACGGATACACGGTAGCATAGCCGAAAATATTCTAAGTACTCTCTACAGTGATGCCTTTGCGACACACGGCAATTTGTTAAGATTTTTGCCCTCACGCTTGTCACGACCTGTCTTCTATCTCTTTCTTCACAACAACCTATCGTGTTCTGCTGTCTCTCCTCTCACACCTTTGCTTGCTGAAAGTTTTATACAAAGTATAACATAGTTTGAATATCATTAATATAATTAAATATAATATATGGAAATTCTAGGAGAGATAAACATAACGAGAGAGTCAATCATTCTCGTTATAATGTATAACATGAAATTGTACAATTTAAATGAAACAAATAATTTATCAAAAACACATTTTATCAGTTTAGTAAAAAAAGTTGACAAGTCGATTTTTTGTTTGTGAAGTAGACATGTAAAAAATTTTACATTTATTTACTAATTTGCAAAAATTTTCTCTCACAAATTAGATGACATTTTGAATTAAAAAAAAATCTGCGAGCCTAAAAACTATATAAGGTACCTTCATTTTTGTTGTAGAATTTACATAAAAAAGTGCCCTTCAAAGGGACAAGTGGCATAAAATTGAGAAAAATCATTCATTCAAATAAAATTTCCAAGGCCATTTCAAAAAGATGTAGATACATTGATACATAATTTAGTATTTTATGTGGTCAAAGTATGGAGCATAATAGGTAGATTTTTTAAAGATTTCACCAAAATATGGATGATCACAGGCGTAGTTTTTTTAGGAGAGTTAAGAACTTATCATTGTCGCATGCAAATCTTATTTCAACATGTAAAACTTAACCACGATCGTATAATTTATGAAGAACATTTTTTCTTTTAATTCTTTTAAGTATAAAAAAATAAATACAATAGAAATAGTTTTCTATGAACTATGTAACACTGTATAAACCCTATTAAAAGCTTTGGTAATCTTTAAATAAACAAACCTATAATTAGTATATATTTATAATAAAAAAACCATAACTTAATTGGATAACTAATATTATCTTCGTGTAAATCTTTTGTTACCCATTATACGTTGCGGTAAATACGTTTCGAAAAGGTTGCGTGCAGTAAAGACATAGTTTTTGTCTAATCTTTTGAGCGCATGGAACACAAATTCTATGTCGGTCTAGACATAATTTCTAGACTATTCCATTACTGGAACAGAGGCAGCAGACTTTAGAAAAAAAATTCGTATTCAATATGAAATATTAAGTTCAAGATTAAAAAAAAGGTATTCTTGTAATAAGAAGATCCATCTCAAAGTAACTTGAAAAAGAATTCTTTAATGTTCATGATTTATAACCTTAATGTTCATGATGTTAAAGAATATCCATAAAATTAGGCAATAAATAACAGTACATTCTAATTATTGATCGTTACTTGAAAACGACATACAAAATGAAAGATAATACATCATTGTTAATAATCCAGGAGACCAATCACAAATTGACAATCGAAATTAAAAAGACAAGCCACTATTATTGTACAATCATGAATATGTCAGAAATGATACAATGGATTTATTTCTAAATAAAAATAGGAGCTGACACGAATTTCTGTAAAACAGTCAACTTCTTGGAATTAAAAAAGTACGATCATATTACAATGGTACACAAAAGCTTCAAACTATAGATTGTAACGGGAGAGATAAATCTGAAAAATGAGAAATTTATTTAAGAACAAATTCCCACGATGCAGAGCAAATCGCCGCTTCGTTAAGAACGTATGATAGTACGTGCCTTGACGTCAGATGATTTATCCTAGTTGTCTTCTATCGAACGGAGTTGAACTCACCTTAAGTCACGTGTCATGTGACACTCGACGAGTTTTAAGTGTGAGCGACTTTACTCCTAATCTTCTTAATCCCCTAGAGTTAATCAGATTAAAACCTAAGCCTTTTCCAATTACTTAAGCTACTAGGAAAATCAAATGAAGTAAACGGCGAATAAATTTAATAAACTTTAATTAACAAAAATCACTACAGTCTTTGTAGGGCCGAAAGACTAACGCTCGCGAATAGGATTTTACAATTAACTATGTTCGGTGAGAAAGAGAGAGAGAGTAGATTCGAATTATACCGTGTTACGTGCCAGTTTTGATGTGTCTTCAAAACGGGCACGTGTTAGACCGTTTTTAGCTCCGAGTGGTCCCGACTCGGGCGGACTAGACCTTCAGTACGGTACCCCGAAAATAATACAATGAAGCGTCACGTAACATCCCTCCCCCCTTAGAATCGTTGCCGTCCTCGGCAATGTATCAAGAGCCACAGGGTCTGCAATGGGTCGGTAAGGAATAAATTAGTGACTAAATTAGTAAATATACAAGGTCCTTTATTCCTAGTCCATTAGTATAATCGATGATAGCGTATAAAGAGGGGGGTGGGGGTGTGTACATGTATTTAACAAGGGAATAACCTGGTCCTAGATTGTTATCCGTGCTAAATCATCCGAGATGGCCTGCGCCGTATTGTTGGTCCTTGCTGCTGATTCTGGGGGCCCAGCGAGGTCGACTAATGTCTGTTCTTTTACGTTACTGACATAATCAAAAT